AGAGAAAGCATTAACATCTGGATCAACTAAAGTAAGTCGTGGTTCTTACAGTTAAGTTACAGATCGAGAAAATTCCACCATCATCTAGGGATGAGTTCAAAGGAAAGTTTAGTGCTAATTTGCTTTAAAATTAAAACTTCATAAATATCGCATCTAAGAAGCAACAAACTATTATTCAGGCTTGCTTTGGTAATACGAGAGTTTTATAAATGTATTTTTTGAAGTAATGCATTTTTCGTTTAAATGAGTGTTTTGTAGTTTCAACTAGAAGAATAGATTGGAACATAAAGACGAATATTGAATTTGAATTGCGGCGACGAATAGAGAATCCTTAAAGATAAATGAGATGAATTTTTCATTCAGTTTTCTGTTGTTCCGTTACTTAGGAAAAGAAATCTCTATACTCTCATATATTTTGTTTTTCCCATTAAAAAAAAAGTCATTTCGAAATAAACTACCGCAGTCATGGAATAGTGATAAATGAACGAAAATGAAATATACGATCTTTTAAGTATTCATTTGCATTCTTCATCATCTACGGCTATATTAGACATATTACAAAATCGCAACGTGACCATTTCCCAGTTAGTATCGCAGTGATCATGGATTTGAATACCGTTCAACCCTGTTTTTTTTTTCATGCTTTATTTTCACAGCTGCTTTAGTTGTGTACATAACTGCGATGATCACTCATGTGTTTACCTCTTTTTCTTCAGCTCAAATGTATGATCTTTCATATATTCATTTGCATTCTTAACCACCTACGAGTATAGTACGAACTCATAACGTGACCAGCTCGCAGTTGGCTTTGATAGCTCAGTGTCGTGGGTTCGAGTCTCGTTAAAAGAGGGTCTCTTTGGGGTTAAACGTTAGCCGTAAATTAAAACGGGCCAAAAATGTACCCCTTAGGCGTAAAATTGGTAAATTTTTACTGTTAGCCGTAAAAAATTGTTATCCACGAGATAGTAAAAGCAAGACCCCTTGTGAAGACTTTCTTTGTGATTTGTCTTGTGGTCTGGTAGTACAGGGAAACGCTGGAAGCCTTAGTAGTAACTATATTCATCCCAGAATGATCCTAGGACCTTAAATATGTTTTATCATACTCAGATAAGTTTTCAACTTTTTTAGATGATGAAAATTAATTTTTAACTTCTTAAAACAATTGTTGTTAATTTATAAGATTTCTGTTAACCGAAAGGAAAATACTGATTATCTGTTAAACATAAAGAAGCCAAAATATTAACTGTTCACCGTAAAAGCCACCACCCCACTGAGACCCTCATTTAAACCTGAATTACTTTTTCAGGCTTTGTTTTGACAGCTGCCTTAGGTGTATACATAACTGCGATGACCTGTCTATATTTATGTCAAAATGTCGTTTCTATTTTATCGCCGGGGAGTGTTCAGCTGGTTTACTGGCATTTATTTATCGAACGTTAGAAAGCTTGCCAAAAACAACATCCGAGCTGATGCCACACGTTTTTTTGACTAAGAGAGAAAGCATTAACATCTGGGTCAACTAAAGTAAGTCGTGGTTCTTACAGTTAAGTTATAGATCGAGAAAATTCCACCATTATCTACTGATCAGTTGAAAGGAATGTTTAATGTTAACTTGCTTTAAAAACTACTTAAATATTGCGTTTGAGAAGAAACAAACCATTATTCAGGCTTACTTTGGTAATACGAGGGTTTTTAGAAGAATTCGTTTTTCGTTTTAATGAGTGTTTTGCAGTTTCAACTAGTAAAATAGACAAGTATCAAGCATTCTGGTATTCATAATCATTTCGAGTTTTGATTTCAGTTTGTTTAAATCTCTCATTTCTGGAATCAAAAACAAACTCTACATCACCAGCCACCATGCGTGTTTGACATGGCTTATGTTTGACATGATTGAAGTAGATCTTCGCAGTCTCTTGGACTTAATTTGTCCATCCATCACTAAAATATTTCAGAATAGTGTATATTTGCTCAATCGTACATGAAGGTTGACTTGCATGCCATCTGTGAAGAAATTTTAAGAATAAGCCCGAGGCTAAGATTTTGAAAAGAATATATTGCTATGCTACCAGATTCAATTTCTCGGTGAAAAGCTTTGAATTCGAATCGACAAAATTTTATTTATCCGTCATGCATTTTTTTTTTTAAAAATCTAGTAATGGCGAAGTTAAATAGAAACCTACTATTTGCGCAAAACGGTGTCTCCGTAGTATTTCGAAAACAGAAGATATGGGCTCAAAATTAGAACGTCACTGATTATCACAAAAGTCGCTTTTAGTTTCTTTTTTGTTCGTTTGTTTGTTTGTTTATTTGCTTGTTTCGTAAAGACATGAGTGATCATCGCAGTTATGTACACAACCAAAACAGCTGTGAGAATAAAGCCTGAAAAAGAAAAAAGATCAGGCTTAAACGAGAGTCTCAATGGGGTGCTGGCTTTTACGGTTAACAGTTAATATTTTGGCTTCTTTACTGCTAGCGGCTAATCAGTGTGCCGCAGAAGTGAATTGGTTTTAAGTAGCTTAAGTTTAGGGAAGGAAAGTTCAGTTAAAAACGTATAACTGTATTGTATTTAGAACTTTTCAACACATGATTTTAACCATGAAAGTTGTCACGAGTATACATTTCCGGCATGAAATTCACAATCATGATCGGGAGTCATGGGTTCCTGTCATGATTTAAGAAGACAAAATCGAAACGAAAAGCAACGCCGTAACTGCCTGTTAATGCTTTTGTTTGAAGGAATGCTGCAGAAAGGTTTTATTTTAACCCTTTTATTGGGTTTGTCCGTCACTGCTGAAGAGGCTGGAAAAAGAATGGATGAACAAGCCTCTTCTTTCGATTGTCCCCCTGGTTACTGGTGTAAGAAGAAGAGAGAGTTTGACTCAGCTGCATGTCCTCAAGGGTTTGTGTGCCAGTCAAAACGCAGTAATGAAGTCTGCCCACTAGGGTACTGGTGCCGCAGAAGTGAATTAGTCAGAGATGAAGAAACTTATCCGCGGAACTGTCCATCTGGGTAATAATCAATAATGCATTTACTTCCCAAATCGACTGTTTTTTTGTTTTTGTTTTTTTACCATATCCCCGGAACCACTCGCATTGTACACTTCGCACATATCGAAAATTTCATCCTCTCAAATACAGTCGGACCTCCCGTAAACTACCACCCAAAATGTCAAGCCTTGGTGGTCGCATACGGGACCTTAGACCATACCGAGGGTATTGGGTCAAAAGTTTGTCTGATTAGCATAAGGTAGCTGCAGACGCCTACCACATGTTTTAAGTGTTTTGTTCATGTGAAAAGTCAATTTCGAAAAAAATGCGGTACTTTCCATTGAGAAATTTCCGTCTCTTGTCCTGAACCTAGGAATGGCGAATGTTATAACACCATATTATCCAACGTCGATCAAACTTTTCAAACTTTTAGCTCTAAAAGTGGTCGTGGTCGCTTACGAGAAGTGGTCACTCAAAAGAGGTTCCAAATATATTGATTTGCCTTGGAAATCTTTGGTATTTTGAAAACTGGTCGCTGTTCTGAGGAGAGGTGGTCGCTTACGACAGGTGGTCACAACCGGAGGTTCGACCATAATTTTCCGTTGGAGTTGCATCTATGACTTTGTGTTTTACCGGTGGGTTGGGTAGGTGAGTGAGTAAGTGAGTGACTGAGTGAATGATTGACTGAAAAAGGAAAATTAGTTAACGCGAATCGTTTCGTGGGGAGCCGAGGAAGGTTGGAATGTGTATGTGAGAGTTTTGCGTCGTAAGTTATTTCAAAAGCGCGGGAAATCCTCCTCAGATATATGTGCAAGAATTTGTAGCTGTAACCAATATTCTTCTTAAGGAGGAAAGAGAGGAGATAATTAGGTATAGGTGCATTGAGAAAATTTATTATTTGTATATTGTATCGCTATATTGCTTAAATTACAATTATTGAACATCTTTCGCACGATGCCTTCCTTTGTATGCGGGCTCAGTTGCAGCGATTCATTTCAGTATTTCCGTTTTTCGGTCTCACGGATATCTTAAGAGAGCAACAGCAACAGGAATATCTCCAAGGCAGAAAAAAAAACAACTTAATATTATAATTATATGTCTACAGTCGATGTTTGGTATTTTACTTCAAGATGTTTGACTTTAATTTTCTGTTTTAAGATACTGGTGCAAACGACGGTCCATTTCCTCAAAACTCTTTCGTGGTGACATTTGACTAACTGGACGAAGTCTCCGGTGCTAAAAGAAAGGATCAACACCACTCTATAAATGTCACTGATACAGCTGCCATTGGATTGAATAGTAACCTCTCGACTGTCATTTGATATAGTTTTGCCGCGATTAGAAGTGATCAATAGAAAGCTGTTAAAATTCGTTAACTTGTGACATAAGGCAGAAATGTAACTTTTAGCCAACTGCAATAAAACCATTATGTGGGACACTTGAAGTTAACCCTTTTTTGGTTATCGAAACAAGTCAAAATACAGCGTTGTTAACTTGTATTTACAAAAGGAGAGGGACACTTCGAGAGGAAAGTGTCAAAATTAAATAAAGATATCTTCTGATCAGTCACGGTCCGGTCCACACACGCGATAAAAATTAGACCTCCGTGCTTTTTTTGTCGCATCATGTACTTTGTGACAGTGTTGTAGTTTAGAATGCTTGCAGCTGCCTAACAACGTCGGTCCGATAACTGCTTGCTTAGTCGGGTTTTGAAAAACGCAATTCGCAATCAACTGGTATTTACTCCCCCTGACTAATCAACTAGGTTTATATTTTTATAATTTTTTTAACAAGTTTATAAGCAAAAGAAAGTTTGATAGATCGTCTGTGTGCACCATGCCACAGCCCCTAAACTATGACTTATATGGTTAGATTTAAAAAATGATTGGCTTCCTTGGTGAATATACTGCATGGTGAAAGTTGAATCCACCTGCTAAGTTTCTGTTCGCGCCACGACAGTATTTGATCAGTTTTTTTTTTCAATCAACCACCGTTGTCATCATATAGATCTGTTACAGAAAGGTGTCTGCGACATCGTCGTCAGAAAGCTTCTCGCTACAGTAATATGCCTTGGACTCATCAAGCGATTCAAAGTCCAGATATGGAGTGTCCTCCTGCATCATTTCTTCCAGTGATTTCGTCGCACTTTCAAATGTCGGTCTTTCGCTGGGCTTCTCCGTCCAACAACTTTGAACCAGCTGATAACTGAAAAAGCAACGGTTAGATTAAAATGCGTTCTTAATTAAGCCGTTCCTAACATTTTCGATACTCGCGCTTTCTCTTAGAACCGGCTCTCGCTCTCGCAAAATAGCGACCATGCATCACGGTTTTTAGACACGGACTATCTCGATGGTCATTATTTGTCTATGAGCTGAAGCCTAGAAAGATGTTCTCGTTGACTTGAGGTAATATATTAAAGGACTAAGAGCAGATAGATTTGACGTATCAATTGCAGAGTGCAACTGATCTCAGCAGTCAAGTTCCAGTTCATCTGTAAACACTACACTGGCCGGAAGCTACACGCGGAGTTAGGAACTTTGGTACCTCATGCACGTCACAACATTTTTTAGGGACCAGCAAACTTTTCTATTTCCTGTTACCGGGAAAATGAGTGTGTTTTAGTCCGCTTTTTTTTGTTTAATTTGTTTCTCGAAAGAAGAGTTTCCGAGACAAAATCTGTGTTTAAACAGAAGCGGGGAAACAGAAAATCAATGTTGCTCAAAATGTTTTGGTCAAAGTGTTTCTTCGTTTGCGGGGATCTTTTCAACAAAAGAGCATAGTTTAAACTATGATAAGAGCGAGTTCGTTAAACTAATAGTTTTACTTACAGTTTATCAGAGCATGTGTCTGGTTTTTCCATGCGATATCCTGTTTTGAGAAGATTGTACAACTCCTTGTTGTTTATTCCAGGATAAGGATTTCCTCCTAGAACAACAACAGTTACAAATTTGACTGTGCATGTAGATATATGCAACCCTAAGAGGTACCAATTCAAAATCCTGTTTTGTGGTCGTGGCTTGAAAGTCTTTTCACTCCTTAGAGGTACCGGTTCTAAAGCAACTTATAAACTGATACCTCCATTATTTTTAAAAGCGATAAAAGAAGATTGCTTCAGTTACCTTCTACCCGTAAAGTTGATTTTCAAATATCTCCTGACATATTTTTTTCGGCTCAGTACCCTAAAAGGTCCTGCGAAAGCTCCCACTATGGAGCGTCTGAGGCTGAACAGAACCGGTCCACCCGTCCTTTATATATGGGATTCCTCACGGGATATGCAGCGAATAATAGCGGCTCTGGCCATCCATGACGACAGAGATTGTGAACATAGCAAATTTAGACTGCCTTGGACTTGCAATGCAAAAGACAACCAGGTTGATAATAAGCAGTAATGTCGACTTAAATGTTTTAAATCTGATGTTGATTTCATTGATGACTGTTAACCAAGACAAATAGATTTAACCCGGAGCAAAAATGAAGTGGCCCTGCACGAAAAGCGACCCCTAAGTTTAAAGATCAGCATAGATTACTCACTGGTACGTATCTAAACATGCACAAAAGCCACACGAGAATTAGCATAATATCAAACACAATTGTTTGTATACTGTTGCAAATATATGGATAGTGAATATCTATACAGTCTTTTTTGTAACAACGAATAGTTTTCGGACTGAAGGTAAATTTTCTTAGGTTTTTTTTGGCCAATTTGAGCCTCATATATTCCTAAGTTTTTCTTCAGTTATCATCTCCAATCGCCAAAGTTTTCAGTAGTTTTGTTATAACTTCCAGTGGTGCTCTTAGCTTGGGGGTGTCCTTGTACCTTTTTAAAATATGAGTTAATCTCATTCTTGAGCGTTCTTATGAAAAAGGTTCTTACAGAAAAGATTCAGTATTCAGTGACATTTTGAATGAATGAAACAGGCCAAATATAGTTCTCTCATGTGAAGT